CCCTTCCTTCTCTCTCTCTCTCCCCCCCCCCCCCCAATCCTTTTCAAGAGCAGGCTTCACTTCTTCTCTTTTCCTTTCCCTTCCCGCGTCCTTTTCTTCCGTGGAAGGAGAGACTTTCCGTCGAGATCTTCCCGAAGCTCTCGAGGTTTGTAAAGCGTCAGATCTGGATAATATGGAGCGTTTCCTAGTTTCCCAAGTTTCTCCTCCTCTCCCTTTCCCTCTCCACGAGCTGTGGTTTCTGCAAAAGGCTTGAAATCCAGCCCCAGGCTTTCCAGCCAGTCCAGGATATTTAATATTGTGTGTTCATATAATATTTATAATATTATAATATAATATAATACTACTACTAATAATAATACAAAATAATAATTATATATTTTATAGTAAAGGTAAAGGTTTTCCCCTGACATTAAGTCCAGCGTGTCCAACTCTGGGGGTTGATGCTTATCTCCATTTCTAAGCCAAAGAGCTGGCATTGTCCGTAGACACCTCCAAGGTCATGTGGGCAGCATGACTGCATGGAGCACCATTACCTTCCCACCGGAGCGGTACTATTGATCTACTCACATTTGCATGTTTTCAAACTGCTAGGTTGGCAGAAGCTGGGGCTAACAGCAGAAGCTCATGCCACTCTCTGGATTCGAACCTGCAGCCTTTTGGTCAACAAGCTTAGCAGCTTAGTGCTTTAACCCACTGCACCACCGGGGGCTCCCAGTAATATTAAATATAATATATTTTATATTACATTTAATATTACTAATAATATTAAAATATATTGTATGCATATATATCTTGTAAGCCACTCTGAGTCCCCTTTGGGGTGAGAAGGGCGGCATATAAATGCCGTAAATAAATAAATTATATAATATAATGCCAAGTTTTCAAACTTTGATTGTGTGCATGTTTTCTTTTAAATACAGTACAAAGGTACCCTTGGTTTGGTCTGATACCATAAATAAATAAATACTAGGGAATCCTGGAGGCACCAGGACGCTTTGGTAAAGAAGGCTAAAGATCTTAGAATTTAGAATTAATGAAGTTAGCCCTGACATTGGCAAACTTTGGCCCTCTAGGCATTTTGGACTTCAACTCCCATCATTCCTAACAGCCTCAGGCCCCTTCCTTTCCTCCCTTTTCCTGCTTAAGCGGCTGAAGGGGAAAAGGCTGTTCAAGGACCTGAGGCTGTTAGGAATGGTGGGAGTTGAAGTCCAAAACACCCAGAGGGCCAAAACTTGTCCATGTCTGAGTTGGCGCCACTTTTAAGTGCCATGGCTCAATGCTAGGGAATTCTGAGAGATGTTGGGTGCTTCCAAACTGTAGAATTAATGCAGTTGAGTCTCGCTTTTAATTGCCATGGCTCAATGCTAGGACTTGTGTTTTGGTGAGGCACCAGCACTCTGTTACAAGTATTGCAATCGTTATGGCCATCCAAATGAGGTCCTAAGGAAGAGTCTTACCCTCTCTGTATAGGTAAGACTGTATTTTCATTGCAACTCAAGAGTGCATCTCCACTGTCCAATGAATGTAGTCTGGCTGACTTTTAACAGCCATGGCTCAATACTAGGAATTTCAGTTTCTCAAGTCACTCCTGACACGTAAATTTTTTTTTTGTGAGGCAGCATTTTAATAAGAAAGGCTAAAAACCTTGGGTGCATCTAACACTGTAAAGTTAATGCATTATGACCCCACTTTTAGGTGCCAGGAGTCAATGCTATGGAATCCTGGAGAAGTGTAGTTTAGTGGAGCACCAGGACTTACAAAGAAGGCTAAAGTATTGTAGTTTGGTGAGGGACCAAGGCATTCAGCAAGTGGCGCAGTGGGTTAAAGCACTGTGCCGGCAGGACTGAAGACCGACAGGTCACAGGTTCAAATCTGGGGAGAGGCGGATGAGCTCCCTCTATTAGCTCCAGCTCCTCATGCGGGGACATGAGAGAAGCCTCTCACTAGGATGAAAAAAACTTCAAAATCATCCGGGCATCCCCTGGGCAACGTCCTTGCAGACGGCCAATTCTCTCACAACAGGAACTGTTGCTCCTGACACGACAAAAAAAACAAAACAAGTATGGCAGGGACGTAGCAAGTATCTTTATGGCCATCCAATTGAGGTCCTTAAGAGAGTGCCTCTGTGCATGGATGAGACTAT